CACACACACACACACACACACACACACACACACACACACACACACATACATCATTAACATATCTGACTCTGTGGCGTTTCCATGAAGTTGGTGTCGTTTCTTCTTGCAAAGGAAGTTCTGAGCATTTTCACAGCAACCACACACACACACACACACACACACACACACACACACACACACACACACACACACACACACACACACACACACACACACACAGTTTCATTCTAGTTTTACATGTCAAAGACATTAAAATGTGATCAAATGTTTCGTTTCAGTTTTTAGTTTCTAATCTTTGAAGGAATCACTGAACTATTATGAATGAATAAAAATATTACAGCTTTAATATAATTATTAAATATTTAAATAGTTTCTGCAGCTCAGAAATCAGTGTTTCACAAGAAATTATACTTTCTAAGCTGCAGCACGTTTTATTTGTGTAGAAACAGAAGCTGTTTTTGTGCAGCTGCAGTTCCCCTACCAGCCACCAGGTGTCGCTGCACAAAACTAAACAACTTTTTAAATAAATGTTCAAAGGTAAGACGTGCTTAACTCACACCGCTGGACCCAGAGGAAGACAGATCAGACACGTTGAGATGAGAAAAGATCTGGTCCAGAAACAACCCTGCAGGGTTTTACTCTGACCCACCTCACCTGAACCTGGTCTCATCCTGTCTGAGTTCATKCAGAATCCAGATCCAAACCCACAGAGTCTCAGTCTGACACAGTACAGGTTTCTGGGTCGTACCTAAAACAGTCTGAATCCAGAACCACTCGGGTCAAAAACAGTCCCAAACAGTTCTGAAGACTCTGTTCTCGAGTCGTTCCTCTACAGTTCTGTCCAAAGTTTTTTTATTTTATTTCTCTTGATTTTTGTCCTTTTTGTTACAAATTAAAGGTTCAGTTTTTCTCCAGGTGGATCAAAAAGACCTGAAGCTCCTCAGACTTCCTGTTTCACCATCAGCAGGTTTAAAGTCAGGTCTCTGCTGACATCTGGTGGACAGAACCTTAGCTTCATCCATCCATCATCCAACCATCATCCAACCATCATCCATGATCCATCCATCATCTAACCATCCATCATCCATCCATCATCCATCCATCATCTAACCATCATCCATCCATCATCCACCATCCATCCATCATCTAACCATCCATCATCCAACCTTCATCCAACCATCATCAGCAGGTTTAAAGTCAGGTCTCTGCTGACACCTGGTGGACAGAACCTTAGCTTCATCCAACCTTCATCCATCCATCCATCATCTAACCATCCATCATCCAACCTTCATCCAACCATCATCTAACCATCCATCATCCAACCTTCATCCAACCATCATCCAACCTTCATCGAACCATCATCAGCAGGTC